GCTTTGCGGGGATGGAAGTGGATCTCGGCGCTCACTGGGCGGCAGGGCCCGGCCATCCAGTCCCGGAGCGTTAAGGCCCTATTTAATCAGCCCCTTGTAGGTTATATCTCATTTCCCGCCAAACAGCGCAGTCCTTTGGGGTGGGGTGGGGGGCGGCTGGTCCTTAAAACAGCCAAAAAGAAGCCCGTGAACTTTACCCTGTTGTGCATAAATCACTCACCAGAACGTTGGGTTCTTGGCATCGATGTGGAGGGCGTAACAAGGAGGAACTGCAAACGCTTGCGCCCTGCACCCAGGTGGCCTCTGCCCGGTGTGAGTTTGGAGCGACGATGTGAGGTTTCTCTTTATATCCTTGCAGTCGGGCACCACAAATGAGAGCTGCATCACCGGCGCCTGCTCCTCGGGCACCCGTCCCCGCAGCGGCCCCGGCTTCTGCTGTGGCTGCTCCTGCACCGAAGCAGCCTGGTCTGATGGCACAGATGGCTACAACCGCTGCCGGAGTTGCCGTAGGCTCTGCTGTAGGCCATACCATAGGCCATGCGCTTACAGGAGGATTTGGCGGAGGAAGCAGCTCTGAAGCTGCAAGGCCTGATATTACTTACCAGGTAAGAGAGAGCCCAACTGGACACCAGCTAATGAGGCGCAGCTAACGTGGGACATCAGTTACGTATAGGCTGATGTAATTGCTGTTGACATAAAGACCGCACAAATCATGGCTGGGAGAGCTGGGGCAGCTTCAGGGACTTGATCTCTGAGGTAACTGCCACAATCACCATGAGCATCTTAAAAGTAGTTCGAAGGGGTGCAGGAGCGGTATGTGCTTGCGGTAGGGTGTTAGTGTTGTGTTCTGCTGTAGCACCCCTCTGACTCAGACAGGACTTCTGTGTTCCAGGTCTGATGACAGTAAGATCTACTGCAAGACCTTTTTGTGCTGCTCAGACATTAAGATAATGCTGTTACCTTGCCCAGGTGCTGTCCAGCGTTACCTAAGCGTTTGTGACTTACAAAAACCGCTCAGGAAAACTATTTTGTACTTCAACCCATTATTTGTTTTCCATTTAAAAAGTAACAGGACATTTTGACTAAAACGCAGGGAAGAAATACCCAGCAAGCAGTACTGGGGTGGTGCGGCTTCACGGGCTGGAGCTGGCGGAAGGGCGCTGAGGGGGGTGTCTGCCGTTTCAGGAGCCCCAGGCAGCTCAGCCTGCCCAGCAGCAGTCGCAGTTCGCTCCTTGCCAGTACGAAATGAAACAGTTCCTGGAGTGTGCGCAGAACCAGACTGACCTGAAGCTGTGCGAGGGCTTCAGCGAGGTGCTGAAGCAGTGCAGGTTTGCTAATGGTAAGTAGACAGTGCTACCGGGCAGCTACTAAATGAGCTAATCAGTACAATTATCGTGGGAATAATGTCCTGGTTTTTCCAATCCATCCGGTAAAGAACAAGGATTGATACAGAGCACATATGCTGAGGTCGGTTAAAGCAGTTGCTGTTCTGTTTGGCTCCCTGTTGTGGTCCCGTACGTGTAGCTGGAGGGGACGGGGTGGAGGGAGGATGAATTCCTGCCGCTTTTGCCCGAAGCTTCGGGAGAGCGGTGGCAGCAGGCTTGGAGAAGCAGCGGAGCGTTGCTGGTCACCCAACTGGCACAACTGCCAAAGCGCCCTGAGCCGGGAGAGGGGTGGCTGCCCGAGTCTGTGGTTCAAGGGGAGAGGGGACGCCCTGACGGACACCTGCCTTACAGCAAGGAAGAGCGCCTGCCGTTCAGGGACTCCAAACTTACCGCGATAACTTCTTCCCTTGCAGGTTTAGCCTAAGCCTTCAGAACAAGGTTGCTGAAGACCATCTTACAACAACTGACCTGTGAATGAAAAAAAGCTTCCATAATAAAGTCTCAAGCTGTCTGATATCTCGTTAGTTCGTATATTCACACTATTGTCCTCGTGGCTTCATTCCTGCCATAGCCGCTACAGATGTGATACCACTTACAGCAGCAAATTAGCACAAAATGGAAGGATGAAGAATAAAGCAGAATGAGCTGATCTGGGTTACCTGGTTTGCTGATTGTTGTGTTGAATGTATGCGATATGGTGTAAAAATAAACTTCTCTCTAGAAGCGCCTTGCTTTGGTGCTTTGGCTTGGGAGTTACGTCTGAGGGGCGAGCAGGCGAGAACTGATTTTGGCCAGCTGTGCGGGCTGGAGCTGCAGGCGTTCGGGCACACCCGTAGCTCTGTGGTGGCCGGACACCTCCTGCTTGCGCATCTGAACCCCGCTGCTGATTAAAACGCGGTGACGAGGGAGGCCGTGGCTGGCTCCGCGCTGCCCCGCCTGCGGTGGCTCCCAGTTCCCCAGCGGCCGCCTGTCGTGCTTCTAAAAATGAGCTCTATATTCAGATTCGAGAGGTTCTGAGAAATCTCTTCCCTCCGCTCAGGGGATTTGGGTGGTGGGGCGTCACCTGCGCAAGCCCGCGCGCTCTCCAGCAGCCGTGCGCTTCTAAGACGACGCAGCCTCGCCTGGGACCCGCGGTTCCCAGTAAGGAGCGGAGGCTGGAGCGTTTTACTCCCCCACCTCGGGGCAGGAGCTGTGGGCTGGAAGGCGAGAGGCGGAGGCCGCCCGGCCTTGCCTCCTGGCACCGGGCTTGGGCAAGGGACAAAGCTGCCACGTGAAGGACAAAAAGAATAGTTCCGTTCGAAAAGTATTCACTGATGCCAAGTGAAAAAACCTCCTTTTTCCGTCAGAGGGAGCAGCGGGCTGGCGCCGGGAGCCTGCGGCCGAGCTCCTCCCGCGGTGCCGGCCCGGCCCGGGGGCGTTGTTGCCGCCGGGGGAGCGCCGCACGGCGCAATGCCGGTTAGAGACGCTGCCGGGGCACGGCCTGTTTGCCTGGGCTGCTTGTATGCTGCTGCATGTGCTGCCCCTTCCTAAAAGCCCTCGTCTCTGAGCGGCGGCTCCCGGACCTGACGCGGGAATCGGTGCAAAACGGGAAGGGTTAAAAAAACGGGGGCAGGGACGCAGCCCCCGTCCCGGTGTCGCGCCTGGGTCGCCGGGTGTTTCGGCGTCCTGGTGACGAGAAAGAAAAACAGTCCGGGGCAGAAATGCCTGCGCCGGGCTGCTGAGATGCGTTCCGGCGTTGGGAAAAGCGCGGCGCGGCCGGTAGCGCCGTTTGCAGCTGGCGGCGGCTGAGAAGCAACGCCCCGGCGGGAGAGAGGCGGGCAGG